ATACGGATCCTAACCTTTGGCTTCTTTCCAAACAAAGTGATCCCTCTGCTACTCAAACCTGCATTCTCACACTTGTCAGCATTGCACCAAGCAATGGCCTCTAAATCTTGCATTATTGTGTGAATAAAATTGATTATTAAACAGTTTGATAAGTCTTTTTAGAAAGATCTTATAACAGCCCAGATGGCCTAAAGGTATACCTAGTATTTGGAGTTTTGTCTTTAAAGATCAGGAAGGTAAGCGCCTCCGTCTATCGGGCTCCTAAAAACACATTTAAGGGCGATTTATTGCATGGAAAGACAGAAAAATTTCACTTGAAGCATCTTTTGGTATTATTGATTTTCTGTTACCAAAAAAACTATAACAAAAATGGATCTTCCATGCTTGCTGAAGCCTAAAAAAGACTAAGACGCACAAAACACCTAGTAGTCAAAGGATCAGCTTTCCGGATAAAGACATTACAAATTTTATGTAGAGTAGTGTAATCACGCATGTGAGAAATCTATATCTATACTATTTTAAAAAGCATGAATAGCCTCAAGAATATTTCTTGAATTTTCTGAGGACAAAATTTACCTCTCCATATTTAAATTTGTTGATAAAAAATGAGGGGAAATAGGATAATCAATTAGTGATATTAAAAGAGCTGAAAAGAGATAATTTTAAGATATTCAATGCATTCAATTCCCTCTCAATAAATCCAACATTTAAGATATTAATTTGCATTCGCCCCCATTGAATCATATATTTAAGGCATTTTTTGTTTCTTCTCATCATTTAATTCTGTTAATTAAATTCATACATAATAACTTAATAATTCCAATAACATAAAAGCTTATACTTTTGAAATCTACCTGGAAAAATAGTTTTTCATCTAGGTGGTGATCAGAAATTAAACCATTTTGGGTCAAATGGGTCAATCGATGCATGTTGCCACAATTAAATTATAAAATTCAAAAATACATATATAAATTAAAACAATAGAAACAATTTTAATATCATATATTCGACAAATTAAACAATAATAAGTATGATAAATAAGAAATATTTTTATTAATGATGAAAATGGAATGTAAAATTTAAAACCAATTGGAAATAAAACTATTTTCCTAGTCTCTCTCATTAAATCTCATATCTAAGGCATATTCTCTTATTAAATCCTATATTTAAGATATATTTCTCTCATCACTAAATTCTACTAATTAAATCCACAATATTAATTTTAATAGTATAAAATAAATATTTTAAAAAGTAATTTGAAAACATAACCATTTTCTTCCCCCTCTAGGTGGTGGGTAAGCAATTCAACCATTTGGGGTTAAATGGGTTAATAAATAATGTCATAATTAAATAATAAAAATTAAAATATATAATATAAGAAAAAATAAAAAGAATTGGGCATATATTTACAATACTAAACAAGAATAAGTATGAAATGTAAGAAGTATTTTTATTAGTAATAAAAATGGAAAGTCAAATTTAAAATTAACTTGATATCATAGTCAAACAATAAAATTTTAAAAATAGAAAATAGAAAAATTTTAGGCACATATCTAAAGTTATATATTTATAGAAAATAAAATATTGGGTACATCTCTAATATTATACATTCATTATATTAAACAAAATAAGTATTGTACATAAGAAACAATTTTAATAATGATGAAAATGTAATACAATATTTAATATCAACCTAGAAATTAAACTATTTTTCTTTTTGGGTGGTGGGTTAGTGGTATGAATCAAATGAATTAATCAATGATATGATTGTTGAATTATAAAAAATCTCTATAAAAAGAATATATATAAAAATATATATATATTAATTATGTCAAACAAAAATTAAGTGTGATAAAAAAATTATTTATATAATGTAAATAAAATATATAATTAAAACTGATCTAAAATCAGAGGTATTTTCTTATCTAGATGGTGGGTCAATGATCCAAATTTTCAAAAAAAAAATCATGATGTCATAATTGAATAATAAATATTTAAGAAAAGATAGAACAGAAAAAATGAAAAGTATAAAATTTTGTAGAAAACATTTAGGAATATTTATAATGTTATATATTCAATATATTAAATAAAAATAATTTTTATTTATGGTAGAAATGGAATAATAATAATTGTTATTGTAATTTAAATTTTTCATGTACAAATGCATGTGTACATTTATTACAGGCATTTAAATTTATTTTTAATCATATTATTTTTTATTTTTAATTTCTATCTTCTTAACTATGATATATCTAAAATTCAAGTAATTAATATGAAAAAAAACTTTTTTTACTGTATTTCTTTAGTTATCTTAACCCAATAATTAAATTTAAATATTAAAATATTTAGACAATCCCCTTCACAAATATTAACATCATATGATACTATTAATATATTCTACTTTAAATTTTATAATGTGGGCATATAAGAAAATACAGTAACCGGGATATGAGCTTTTCATATTCTGTCTTCAATCCAATTATAATCTTCTCTTTCTGGTTCAAGCTAAGAACCTAATACTTTGAGTTGGACTAGTTTCCTTTTGGGGAATTTTTTTATTTGCTCCCCCCGTACAGAAATTTTTATTGGTTTTTTGAATATATTATCTCAAACCCCCACCTATGCTGCAATGCCCCATTACCTATCACCGTTTCCAACTATACGAACTTATAAAAATTTCTAAGGTGAATGAATCAATAAAAACCCCCTTGATTTTGTTATGTGAGAGAGAATTAGAATAGGTATAGAATCATACAATAGAATAGAGCTATAAAACGGGTCATGATGGGTCGGTACGGCACGGTCCGCATAAAGTGCGAGCCATGTCAGTCCGTGGGCCACCTCAAGCCGTGCTTCCCACCCTTGGGATATTTTGGAGGGTCGGCCCAACAGGGCCCATGGCCCAAGCCTGTGCGGGCCCATGCCATATTGTGTCATGCCACAAGTCGAGATGGCCCATGGGCCAAGCCTTAGGCCAGGTCAAGCCGTGGAGTGGGCCAAAGCTATTTATTAAAAATTTGAAAAAACTTAAAATTTTTATTTTATATGAATTTAGATGCATACAATTGTTTATATACACAATAATTAAATAAAATGGTATAATAAAACTGAAAACAATTATTTATTTTATTAATATATTATATATTACATATTATTATATAATTATAATTTATATAATATATAATATATTATATATTAATATATATAATATATACTATATTAATAAAATATATTATGTATATAGTGCTAGCTATGTGAGCATGCGGGCTGTGGGTGGCACAGCCCGCTAAGTCGTGCCATGCTAAGCTGGCCTGTGAACCTAAAACCCCAAGCACAACATGACCCATACAATCGTGCCATACTCAACACAACCCGTGAACCATTGTGCCAAGTCGAGCTAACTCAAAATTGTTTTAGGCCGTACTTGGCCGCAGGTGACACGGCCTGAGTTACACCTCTACAATAGAACTAAGACAGTCAAGGTCAGAAGCATATATACCTGCACTCAAGTTAAACAATACTCACTTAATTGTAATAGAGATTATAAAGTATTCCAATGCTACCAATGACACCACTACCATCTTGCTTGCCACTAGCTAGTTAGTTCATAAAAGGCTTCAAATAACTGCACAAAATAATTCAATGTTCGACCATCCATTATACTGATGATCTTCATAAGCTATTTAGGGTCTGTTTGGTTTGCTATCGTAGTAGTCAGAATTAAAATCCTTAAGAATCAGAATCGAAATGATCTATCCCATAGTCTGTTTGGTTCAGATAAGAATAGGAATGAAAATTAGAATTAGCATGAATGAGATTTCATTACTAAGAGAGGGGGAGGGAATGGCCATTCCCTTAAATGGGAGAAAAATATTCCACCGAGAATAGGAATAGGATTATGATTACACCCAACCAAACAGTCGGAATCAGAATAGCCCATTTCAATTCCAATTCCAAACCCCTATTCCTGAGAACCAAACGGGAGTGAAATTAATTGTTGAGGCTCAGTTTGGAAAGAGTACAAAAACAAATATATACATTTCAAATACAGGCCTAGAAATACAAAATACAAGGCTTTGCACCGTACATATTTGTATTTATATTCTTTCCAAACTGTGTCACAAGTTCAATTCAATATCCAAGAGATTCTTAGAAAGATGAACCAAATTTGAATTTGATTCAAATATTTGAATATTCCAATTCAATCAATTAGTTTGAACTTATAATAAATTTAGATATTTATCAAATTGAATCAGGTTATATTTGAATTTGATTTGATAAACCACATGGTATAGGTTTTGCATCCAAATTTGACCAACTACTTTATTAGAATTATCCGAATTTAATTTGATTATATCAAATAGGGTTTTTGGATACCATTTACACCCCTAGCTGAAGCTAATGCACAAGAACAGTTTTCTCTCCTAGACCAAGCTGATAAAATGACAATATGGAATCAGCTCATTAATTATGGAGGTGTTTGGTAAATCTTTTTAGGAAGATCTTCCAAAAGCACAAGACATCAAAAGATTGGCGAGCTTTCATAGATAGATCTTCAAAGACCAAAGACCGTTTGGTTATAATATTTTTCAAAGATCTTTTCAAAAACTAAAAAGACCAAAAGACTGTTTGGCAAACACACTTGTGGATCCCTCTTACATACATGTGAAATGTCATGCATGGGACTCCGTAACACATTCAAACATATAAATCATGGCTTTTAAAACCGATCTGAAGACCGAACTAGTTAGAGGTCTGATTACCGGGTCGAATAGTCCGATTGTCCCATTCTGACAAAAAAAATAAAAAAATTGAAAACAGTCAAAACCGTTCAAACAATTAACCACTCAAATCAGCGGTTTACTAACCAAAATCAACTGTTTTTAAAGAAAACCCAATTTTAAGGAAACCGAAACCGATCACCTGATTGATTCCCGGTTTTTCCGATCCGGTTTTGAAAACCATGATATAAATAATACTTGCGGTTCTCAAACTCTCAAATAAAAATTTTCAAATACAATAGTTATAAAGAGAGACAGATTTCTGATTTTTTGGGCCTGTTTTGCTTCAATGGACATTGTCAAGTCTCCCAAAAAAAGACAATGTGAACTCAACAATCCATCCATTTGGCAATCTCTCGAGAGAATAATTAAAGAAAGAAATCAAGAGCTGCGGACCAAGACATTTTGCAGCATAGCCTTGAACTCATAAAAGTCAACACTTCCATCATGATTTCGATCAACAGAAAGATCATCTGCTCAACTCTACTGATCTCCCTCCCCTCCGGCAATCCCAACTTCCCCAGCACCACCTGCAACTCCCTCGCCGATATAAACCCATCTCCGTCCTCGTCAAACACCTTAAATGCCTCTGTCAAGTCCGACTCCTCCAACGACAAAGGATCCGCGACACACGCCCTTTGGTCCACCCGGTGATACGTTTCCCCCAACGACTGGTGCAACGCTTCGAAGTCGTCGTATTCCAACCCCGTATTGCCTAGCTTTATGAAGCCATGCACGATGGAGTCTAGCTCAGAGGGGTTAGTGTCCAGGCCGAGAAGGTTTAGAGCTTGGCAGAGCTCATGGACAGTGATTGTGCCGTCGCTGTTCTTGTCGAATGTATCGAACATGCGTCGGAGGCGATGGCTGTTGAGGCTTGGGCACTGAAGACTGAAGGACAACGAGATGGGATTTACCGGAATCAATGTGGATGATGGATGGCGACGAGAAGCATCTCTAAAACACGGTGAAAAACTGCCGAAAACCCGAGTGAAAATGTGGTGAATATCGCCGCTGCGGTGGCCGGAGAACAGGGGTGAAAAATCTCTAGAAAATGGACGCCGACGAGAAGAAAGGAGGGGAGGAAGCTGAGAGTTCGAATTCGATGCTTCTAAGTTCAATTGTTGGGGCAGAAAGTTCGAACTCTGAGTCGAATTTTTGTCAAAATTTCGGGAAGCTGAGAAGCCCAAATTGATAAGCTTGGCTCGGAGCTTCTCAGATCTAGACCATTTTGGTCTTTTTGGGACTTTTTTGGCATCTGTCTTTTAGTCTATTAGGCTTTCAATTGCCAAACAAGGCCTATTTTTTTTGAGTTGTGCCTTCAATTATTGTGTAGCCTGCTCCATGATCCAACCCAACTTTGTAAAGAGAAACCCCGAAGGGAAAGTTTCATTGAGGTTTGTGGTGGGTGCCAAGGTATATGGACTAAACCTGATTTCTGTTTATGGGTCTGACCTGAATATGTTATGTCAATGCTGGGTTTTCTCTTTGATGTATCTCAGAGGGTGAGAACAATGTGAGTGACAACTCAGGTGTTCTGGGGTGTAGGGTTTTCTGTGTGTGAAAGGTTGCTCAACCTTGTTTTCCTGTGCCATTTCAATCTGTATTTCTGGGTCTTACACAATAATATTAGAGGGTAGATAGCTTTATATGTATACTCCAGATGTAGCTCTTGTCATTCTCAAATAAATAAACATATTAAAAAACAAAAAAAAAAATAACAGAATTTATTCATTAATCACAGGGGGCAATTATAAGGCTCTGCTGTTGCAAGAGTGACAGGAAAACTGCTCACACAGGCAGAGAATTATCAATCAAGAAGAAAATAAATATTTAGAACGAGGGAGGGGTTGGTTGTTAAGGAAGCTTGTGATCAAGGTAAGGGCCAAATCGGGCTGATCTTTACCGATCCATATCCCTGAATTCCTCACCGTTGCATATACTAGTCCACCTTGATAAGTCTCCGTGAATCCTGCGATCTGCAAACCAACATATACAGATCAGTTTCTGAGATTTGGGAAACAGAATATATAGAAATAAATTTGAATAGTCATCAGTAAACATCTTGCCTCAAGAGCGTTGCTGAACCACGGTCTCCAAGACTCAACGATGGTTAAATTGAGCTTCTCCAAAGATCTCACTGTCCCCAGAAAAGGATTGGTGAGATCCAGATCACCACTGCAACAAATAATGAAGCTCACGATGAGTTTCTGAGCATATAAAGTGAAAAGGAAATGGGTGCCAAATTTGCACTCAATGCAAGGAACCAAAAAATGTACTGTTTATACATATCCACTTGCCTGTATACTAGTATCCTGAGCCCAGTAGCCAACAATTTCTGAATATTTTCCAGTGTATTAACATGCGAAGATTGCAAACTCAACTCGCTGCAAGGAAATAATTTCACATTTAGTAAATGCGCTTTGAACCACAGACACCCTTTGGAATGTTGAAGTTGGCTTACTCATTGCAGTAGCTCCAAAACAGAACGCCTTTCTTGGCGTGTATGTGTAGAGCTCTCTGAACGAAAAGTGTGTTGAAGTAGCCAGCCACATATTGGTCTTCACACCTGTAAACGCGTAGCTGGGTTTCATGGAAACAAAGTTAATCAGATGCAGAAGAAGCCATTCCCCAATCTGTTGCTACTTAAGCAAAGCTAATAAACGTTTCAGAATGGTTGTTCACTCAGCTAGCATACCACGAAATTAAATCCAACGTCAACACCTTTTTCTACAGGACACAAGCGGTTAGTATAGAGTAGTCTTCTGTTCAGTTTAACTACCATGTCTCCAGTAGCCATTATTTCTTCAAAGCAGTCTATGCTCTTCTGTTTGACGCATTTTAACAAATAGTTTTTGTACAACGAATCGGAAATGAGATTGTGACTCCACAAGTATTCAAGCTTGCCGATCTCATCTTCAGCTGGGTCGAGCGCTGGACTCCCCATCTGCAACTCACAAAATGCACTAGGGTTTTGAGACTGACAGAAGGAAAAACTAACACAACGAACAACTTATGAAAAACAATGGAATCGGTCTTACCACTAGTCCTTTGAGGTTGATGAACAACCCTTGTTTCGCCTTGCGGTTGATCCTAGCAATGCGGAGAGCAATCTGGGGCCCGATTGTGCCAATGTAGTCTTGGCCAGCGATATACAGTTCGTTGTTCATGTATTTTGGGAATCGCTGGAGCCATAGAATGATGAATCTGATTATACTAGTCACCACGATTGGATCTGAGGGTGATACTTCTGAGGTATTTGCCCTGGAGAAGCCAACTGTCTCTATGGCATCCACGAATAGAAGGTTGGCAACTGAAATGTTTCACGTACACAGGAAAGTGGAAACAACATTATCTCAAGCCTCAAGGGCTGACAAAAGTAAGTCTTAAATTCACCCTTCTTAATTAATTCGAAAAAAAAAGGGAAAATGACAATTCAACCAGGGTCAGAATTTTGGCCCAAAGTATAATTGGGGTGAGTGTGTGGGCATTGATGTACAGAATGTGGATTTCTGATGTTTTAAATGTATATGAACTCTACAGCAAAAATCAGAAATCTATATTGGGCCTGTACTATTTCTCCGTAAAACATAAAAATCAAACAACTTTATTATTAATAAATACAATATAACGTATGAGCATTCATATTTAAATTAAATCCACTCGAATTATACCGAATGAGATATTGGATTTCTATTGAACCCAATTATAAACAAATCAAATTCATATTCGAATTGAATTGATACCACTACAGCCTCTGTGGGTCGAAATGATAATATGATTCCATTTCAAGGAAATTATTTTTAACAACATGAAATGAACCCATTTTTCTTTCTCATATTGCCAAACATGGTTAGTATTACAGAAAGCAACCAAGTAATTTCTTACCTTTATTCCATGAGTATGGATTTTCGTATAGGGTTTGCCCATCCTCTTCTACAAGAAAAGGCCCGATCTGCTGGAACCCTCCAGTTCCAATAGACGAACATCTTAGATCTATGCATCAACAGTTCAACATTAATGCTGATATATAATTAATTAATTTCTGTTCAAACTAGCAAAATCCAAATTATTAAACAAAAAATTTAAATGTAGATACCACCTGCCACGTGGCCCCATCTTTTGTTTTTTTTTCTGAGCATTTCCACATGTAAACCACTGAAAGCTTCAATATATTGGAACTTGTACTAGAGACCAATTTTTTTTTTATCTTTTTTCTTAAACGGGTTTATTCTATCCACGTGGCAAAATTTTGGACCCAAATTTATCCCCATTGCCACGTGAAAGAGCCAGGCTTGTTTATTCTCTTGTCATGAAATGAAAAAACTGGGTGTCCACAATAGACAGCCTGTGCTGTCCACAGTTTCTGTATACGTGACAAGGTAGTCGATACAATCATCCCATTACTGTTGCATGGGAATTTTCATCAACTTTCTGTGTTTCTCTCTTATTTTCTATCAAACCAAATACAGTTTGAGGAATCTCCGGTGATGGGTGATGTAGTGTGAAAAATATAGAAAAAAGTGGGAAAAAACATCGCCTGAAGCGACGATAGATGATAAGCTCATGCATTCATACCTCCAGATAACCAGAGTATGATAGGCTGGGAAGAAGGGTCGTCGACTCCTGTTGCGGAAGCAAACCAGTAGAACAAATCTCTCTTGATTACATTGTTCACTCTGACGAAACCGGCATATTGATGAATCTCAACTGATGGGGGCTGGTTTGGGAGTTCGTAGACGGTGTCTGCAGCCCTTGGATTAAGAAAATAGTCTTCTTTGAAATCGTTGAATTCCATAGGTTTTGAATTCGGCCTCTGAGTGGCTTCAGTGGAGTTGTTACCCGGATCCAACCCTGCAAAGGGATCGCCACCGCCAAACGGATCGCCTCCACCACCGCCACCGCCACCGCCAAAGGGATCGCCTCCGCCACCACCAAAGGGATTGCCACCGCCAAAGGGATCGCCTCCGCCACCGCCACCGCCAAAGGGATTGCCACCACCCTGGCCGGCAGCGGGGTGGAAAACGGTGGTGGAAAGCAACAGTAGGACTACTGCAAGTGCTACGCTCTTTCTCTTCATTCCTCTTCCCTGCTCGGCCGGCCGGGAGAATTTGGCCGCCTGCGCCTGGGCTCTTCTTTAAAGAGAAAAGCTTGTTACGCTCTCTGCATGGATCCATCCACGTAGACAGGTAACCCTACAAAACGACCCTAAGGTTACATGGTATTTACATGATTGCCCTAGGAGTTAATATCCCGGTTCCTAGATACGGTGGAGTCAGAGATGGAGATGGTTTTGGCGGAGACAGGGCGGGGATGGGATTGATTGTGACAACCCAACCAAGGAAGGCGATGGCGAGTGAATTCTTTGTCCACTCCGATCGGATTATATATCAATATAAATATATTTGAAGACGAATTATATATATTAAATATTATATATATATTTATATATATATAATATTATTTATGATATTAGTTATAATATATATTAAAATATATTTAAAATATTTTGTATTTTAAAAAATCTCTTATTTTAATATAATATTAATTTAAAACTTTTGAAGATTTAGATCGTCAACAAAAAACCTGTTTCCGTTAAAAATTGGGGATAGAGGATATTTTTATCTCCAGTGGAAATTAAAATGAAGAATGAAGATTTGTTTTAAAATTGAGTTCGTTAAAATGAAATACGATCCCTACCCTGAACCCGCTCCACTGCAATTTCTAATTCATATAAAGGACCGGGTTGAAAACAAACCAAACCATGATTTCCGGGTAAGACCACTTGGAATTCGAGGAGTCCGAAACCATACCTTGATCAGGCCGACGATCTGGTTCAAGAATTTGTACTCGCAATATCATAAATTTCTGGTTCTTCTCTTGATTTATGCTGAGGCGGGGTTCATAAGGGGTGGCGTTTCTGTAATAAATTGAAAATGCAAGGGCAGTATCGTTATGATACCTTAAATAGTCGAGTGCGTCGTTGGCCGTTGCTGAAGAAGTTAGTGGCTGTCCTTTGGCCGTGGTCGGAAGGCCGAAGATCTCGGGTAGCAGGCAGAGTGCAAATTTTGATCTATTTTTATTTTAAATTTTAACTTATTTTATTTAATTGCAGTCTAAATGGGATAATGAAGCAAATAAAATAAAACTAGAATTTGCCATTTTTTCATTTGCACCCTCATACATTTGTATTAGTATAAATAAAATTGTACTGCAGCCAAAGGCAGCCTTCTCATCTTTTCGGAGAGCAACTTAAAAAGGAAAAAAGAAATTTTAAATGGGTTAGATGAATGGTTTGAATCCAATCAAGGCACCGATCAGTGATCTGGATTCAATTCGAGTCTGATACTCTGATCCATTAAGAGGAATTCAGGGTCCATAAATCCATCAGTCCAATTAGGTCATAATGGCAGGGTGAAATAGGAAGCAGCTTTACAATCTAACTACATCGATCCACATTGAACCAAATGGATTGGATTTAAATCGAATAGGGTATTTTAATTAATCTGATCTGATAATGAAATCCTATATTCAATCTGATCCGATGGTTCAATGGATCTCACAAAATCAATTCCAATTCTAATCTGTTAAGAATGTCAAATATTTGAATTCCATTCAATCTGATTTGATGGATGACTCGTAGGTTTATAAAATTTAGGGAGAATGACCAATCAGCCCAGCCCAGATCAGAATTTTATAGCTCCAAGTACAGGGGGAATGCATCTGACCGTGAATTGATGCCAAATTTACGGGCAGGATGTGATTTATAGGGGGAGAAGACTAATAATAGGGGGGCTGAAATTCAGAATTCTGCATCATGTGTATCTGTACTTCTCCGTAAAATTTAACAAGTTATTAACATGAATAAAAGAAATATAGCAGTTTATACAAAGAAAAACAAAAAGGACAAGCAATTCTATATATATCAGAGCATATATGAGTTTATTCGTATTATATCTTATTATTAAACAAATCATACTTTTCGATCCAATCCAATTTGAAAATCCAACAAAGGGATATCTGAATCCATCAAAATAAGATTGGATTCAAATTCGAATCAATTTATGATCTGGTCCATTTGCACCCCTATCTCAATATGTTTAATTTTTATATCTAGTTTCAACCCTAAGAGCTCCTCAGGAAAAAAACACAATGAACAATCACTAGCTTTATGTTCTTAAGGCTGTAATTGGTTGCAATGCAAATTTAATTGCACTAATTAGTGGAAATGACTTGGGTGCAAATTCTGATTTATTCTTGCTTAAAATTTTACCTTATTTTGTTTAGTTGTAATACAAATGAAGTAATATAAAACCTGAATCACAACAAAGTAAAACCCAAAACAAAAGTAAACCAAAATATACATTTTTTTCATTTTCACTCATGCATTTGTACTATTGCAAATAAAATTACACTGCAACCGAAGCATAACCAAAAGGGCAAAAATATTAATGAGAATCAATAATTTCAATCCTAATTTTGAGGAGAAAGGTTTAATTAAACGCTTTGGCTGTTTAGCAGGTTGTGGAACCAATGAGAAGGTTCAAGGCCAATAATAAAATACATGGGGCCTGCACCTTTTATAGTGGGTGGGGCCCATGAATTTATTACTGGCGTGGAACCTCATCATTGATTCCACAGCCCACTGAACTGCCGAAACGTTCAGCTAATCGGAACTCAGTTTTGGGGTTGTAAGTGCCTATTGTGGGAATATCCAAAATTGCACAAATGCATTATATATTAAAATTTTATTTTATTTTTTGTTAAAATTATGTAAAATTCATGCAACAGGAATTAATTACTTATGTAATTTGATTACTTTTTCATAATTATTTTTTTTTCAATTTAAATGCCTTTTATGCAATTAATGAAACAAAAAGTGGTGTTGGTCCCCATTCCTCAACAAATTTGCATGGTAATTATGCAAAAAAATATTTCACGGCCCTCCCTACAATCTGCAACCCACCATCCACGTGGCAATTTGCATGGTAAAATTCTGGTCTTTTATTTGATTTAGAATATTCAATTATGTATGATTTGTAATTAAACAATATATATATATAGGATAGGGGTGCTCTCAAATGGAATCTACTCGTGCCAGTAGATTCTCACGCGAGAGCACCCCAGTAAAGTATGTTATACTAATTACTTTATTTAACTGTTATTATTACAGTTATTAATTACTGTAATCTGTTATTAATTACTGTTATTTATAACAGTAATTACTGTTATTAATTACTGTTATTATTATAATAATAATTACTGATTATTACAGTAATTTAATAAATATACAATTAGTGATTATAATTAATAATTACTATTATTATAAGTATTGTTAATAAATAGATATTTACTTTAATTTTACTTTAAATTAAAATTAGAAATATTGTTATTAATAAATACTATTAATAAATTTAGTAATTATTGCTATATTAAAAATGTTGTTAAAAGTATTGTTATGGATTATTTAATAAAATATTATAATTACTATTACTGATAAATACTATTAATTTAATTTATTTTTGGTAATTATTAATTTAATGAATATTGTTAATAAATCCTATTCATAAATTTAATATTTACTGTTACATTAAAAATAACTAAATAATATTATTAAAACTATCATTAACGATTATTTAATTAAATAGTTAATTACTTACTATTATTGATAAATGTTGTTAATAACATTCTGACAACCAACGGTTCGACCGTCCAGTTTGAACGGATGGTTCGTTCTGACAACAAAAATTACAAGCAAAAAATTACGGAACCATTTTCGCCACCAGTTTTCGGGTCGACGATTCGATCATCCGATTCGAACAGACGATCCGTTCTAACAACAAAAATTATAGGCATAAATTTGAGTTTGTGAGGTCCATTTAATAGTATAATACGTGTTATGTCACTCGAACGTGTGACTCATACGACCCAAAAACGGAACCATTCTAGCCATTGGTTTTTGAGTCGACGGTTTGACCATTTGGTTCGAACAGACGGCCCGTTCTGACAACAAAAAATTACGGAACTATTCTGGCCATCGGTTTTCAAGTCGACGATTTGAACAAACAACCCATTCTGATAACAAAAATTACAGGCAAAACATTAAGTGTGTGAGGTCCATTAAGCAGTATCGTACGTGTTATATCATTCGAGAGTGTGACTCATACGACCCAAAAATGGAACCGTTCTAGTCACCGGTTTTCGGGTTGATGGTTCAACCATCTGGTTTGAACGGACGACCTGTTCTGACAACAAAAATTAAAAAAATAAAAAAAAATAGCCAAAAACCATAGAATGGGTCAATAGGTAACGTTCGACCACTCGGGTCAATGGGTCGTTGACTGATTCAACGGTTTTTGGCCAGGGACCGGGATTGGGGTAAAACAAAACTGGTTGCCTAGACGGTACGCAATTAAAAAAAAAAAACGGATGACCCATTCAGACAAAAAAATTACAGGCAAAAAATTGAGTGTCTGAGGTCCATTAAGCAGTACCATACATGTTATGTTATTTGAGCGTGTGACTCATACGACCTGAAGACAAAACCATTCTGGCCACCAGTTTTCGGGTCGACGGTTTGACTATTCGGTTTGAACGGATGGCCTGTTCTGACAACAAAAATTAAAAAAAAAAAAACGACAAAAAACCATTGAATGGGTCAACGGTTTGATCACCTGGGTCAATGGGTCATTGACTGATTCAACGATTTTTGGCTAAGGACCGAGATTAGGATAAAACGGAACCGGTTGTCAGGATGGTTCCCAATGAAAAAAAAATAAAACGGGTCGATGGTTCCCAATGAAAAAAATAAAACGGAACCGGGTTGAACAAGTAAATGGGTCGATGGTTCAACCGCTCGAGTGAATGAATCATTGACCGATTCAACGATTTTTGGCCAGAGACTGGATTAACGAGTCAACGATTCCATTCCAGCCCCTGCTGAGCAAGGTCCCTCTGCTAGTATATTTTTTAAAGTAGGACGTCAATTTGGATTTTCTTAGTTAAATCAATAAATTAAATTAGATTAACTTTGTAATTAATACTAGACTACTTTGCAATTTAAATTAAAAACAACACCATTTTAGAATTTAAAAAGATACCACTTTACATATATATGCATTTTGAATTGAAATTTGCTCAGCTTCTTTTCCTAAGCCGAAAGTCTAAGGTTGCATTTGGCATTCCTTATTTTAAGAATTTATTTTCTTTTTCTATTTAAAAACTCAATTTTCATAAGGGTATTTTAACTACAAAAAGATGATAAGTCCTCAAAATAAGGAATGTCAAATACAGCCTAAGTGGGTGTGGATGTAGTAGGCACGTTAGGTAAGCACAATG